AAAGATTTCGATAAAGTCAGTCATCAAATATTGCTCTTTAAACTAAGTAAACTTGATATAGACAAAAACACTTAATTTGATTGAGTCTTTTTGCATCGTCGCTCATAATTTGTTACAGTAAATGGCTCTAATTCTTCAGTAACGCCTGTTAACTCGAGTGTTCCGCAAGGTTCAGTTCTAGGCCCATTACTCTTTCTTGTATATATTAAAGATCTGCCAGGCCTGCCTTTCCTCTTTTGTTCGTGTATTTGTCGATGATTGCGTAGCTTAACGAGAAATATTAACCAAGAATGACATCAGCCATTTGCAGTCTGATCTAATCTTAATAGCTAGCTGGTGCCGCACATGGCTAATGGAACAAAACATCACCAAGTGCAAATAAAGGCGCGTATTCTGCGGTAGCACAGTTTCGCCTATTAACTACCTTAACACCATGCCATTGCAACCTGTGCAAAAGTATAGATACCTTAGTCTTCATATAACGTCTGACTTGTCATAGAACATGCATATAGTGCAGGTAAGTAACAATGTTAATTGCATGCTCGGCTTTTAAGAAGAAATTTTTGTTCTGTTCCCTCATTCTTTACGCTCCTGTTCTTTAAATCACTGGTTTCATCGAAGCTTGAGCACGCAGCCTCCGTCTGGGACTCCGGCATAAAGTACCTCATTCAGTCACTAGAATCAATTTAAAACAAATCTGCGGCTTTTATTATTTCTAAGCATAATCTCACTTCCAGTCTAACCTCTATGAAGCTATCATTATATTTGTCTAATCTTGCTTTACACAGACAGCTGTCTTGGTTGTCTCTTTTTCATAAAATTTACTATCATTCTGCCCTTCATGAGAACCTACTAACAGCCCCGTCATATATTTCCCGGCGATCAGATCATCGAAATAAGGTTGGCGTCTTGCCTTGCAACACCAAATGTAGTTTCTATTCCTCCTTTCCTCGCACTTCTGCAGAATAGATCCACCTTCCTCATAATATGGCAACCTTACCTGACCCAATTTCTTTCAGAACTGCCCTGTCTTTCTTGCTATTTTCTGATGTACCAGAGGTGTTTACTCTTGCCGTTTGGTTTGTTCATGCATTTACCACTTCAATCTGTAATTGTCTTTTAACCCTGAGGGTAAGTAAATAAATAAATGCATAAGTATACGGCGTTGAAGTTCCCGGGACACGTGTAACCGGTTAACTGCACTTGTCTGGAGTTGCAAATATAGTCCCTACAGTTTACTTTATGCTGAAATGTCACGTAAAGTTCGCCCTTCATACAGGATTACTTGTACACGTCTGCGTGTGGAAAGCATTGAATTTTGTTTGTTTGCTTTCATTCGTCAAAATTCTAACGATTAATGGGTAAAAAAATTAATCGCGATAAAAGCATTAAACGTTAAATCGGTAGGTGAATCGATCAATTGCACAGCCCTAGCAAGAGATGATTGTGATCTTTCCTGTTTCAAGCTCAGAACCATTTGTGCCGCTTTCCGGCAAGTTTCTTCTAGACATATGCAATTAAAAGATGTCAACAACAAGGCTTTTGCTGAGGGTCTAGGGTTCGCAAGGGCACCAAATGTCACAATCTGGAGAAGGGGCCGTACGTTGTGTTGCTTGAAGCGTTGTACTGATCTCTTTTATGGTACACAAGTGATCCAAATCAACAATCACTTTTTTGCTATACTTGTTGAAATTGGCTTCTGCTTGCTAGAACGATAATCTGTATTCGGGGCTGTTTACTGCCTCTCCAGGCTTTGAGAGCAAATTACAAATCGCATCAGCCATAGTCACCTTCAAAGGGCGGTGCAACGATATTTATTTGAAATGTTTTTTTACTTTACATGGAGCTTACTGGCATTAGTGGCACCCAAGTATACTCGCACGGAATGCCATTGACCAACAAACCTCTTCGCTGCGGTGTTATTCCAAAAATAAACGGGAGCGCTTTTTTTCAATCTCTTCTTTGCAAAACTTGATGAGTCAGTTTGGAGGTCGCACTGTCTTCCAGTGATGTTAGATAGTCCCCCAGCGAGGTATTTGAATGCGGCTCATAGACTGGACCAGAGCACTGCGTGAGCACTCGATTTGGGCTCGCGATAATCAATAGCTCGACAAGCCTTCGGGTAGTGATTCGCGCCCAATCGCTTCAATGACGACAATAGCTGAAGCCTATTAATGTTTGGAACTGAGCTTATGTCCTGTGCTTTGTCAATTCCGGCGCGTGGATGATAGGAACTGACAGCATATAATCGGCTCCAGATCAAGTGGTCATTGGTTCTGGCTATGAAACGAGGGAGAGAACGCTGCTCGTTTTTATTTCATATTTTTTGCAACTACCATCGCACAGGGAGAAAAACTAACGCGCTTTTCATGAATAATAAACACCAGGTATTCCTTCTGAGCGGTATTTACGCGAAGTACAAAAACCGTTGCTCCGCCATATTAAGTACATCACGCACTACATCAAAAACAGGAAAATGCTTTTTTTTTAATTAGGCGACTGTAGACTGTGTACGAGATTTCAAACTATTAGTATAGAAGTGGCAGGAAACCGAACCAGTCGTAGGGAAGTGGCGTGAAACCAAACAACTAGTATGGAACGCTAAGTAATCGTTGCCATATCTTTCTTACTCTTTTTTCCACAGTCTCGACGCAGGACGTGGTTATGTTACACTGCCGCGTAGAACTCGCAAATATCTGTTCTTCGGTTCCCTATTTCTTCCCTGCGCCGTATTGTTCGTAGAAGTTCGCATTCCCCTTGTTTTCATATAACCTTCTGGAAGGGGACGATTCCGCGTCGCAAACCTAATATGCGATAAAGATAACCAATCTAAATTTAAATTGGAAAACTGTCATGCAACTGCTAACTGCCTTAAAGGTGGGCTTTTCTTTGCATTGAAATAAGAACTGCTTATCCTTTCTTATTTCTCATTTCTACAATTACTTACTTAGTGCGGAGCTTAAATTCTGTATCCTAGAATATACAAAATTTGCACAAGAAAATAACAGACTTACTTTTTTTCACCGCATCCCTAATTCGCTGGCAGTTTTTACTACCATCAAGAACGATTACATATTTTTGTGTTTGTGTGTTTTATATAGAAAGGCATCTTTATTTTTAGTTTTACTAACATGTGTTTCTTTTCAAGGGCCCGCTTTCTCTAAAGCTGGTCTCGCTTCTCGGCATGCGTCGATCTGAAATGTCAAAAGGTCTTGTCACAGTACGCGAAAAACACTACTTTTATTTTTTTTTTGCTGAGAAAAGAAGATTAGTTTTTTTGGACAGTAATTTTGAGTTGTTTACGATTAACTAAAGTAAAAAAGCGCGAAACATACACAAGAACGCGAGAAAGTGGTCGATACAGGGCGCATTTGCTCAAGTTGGTTCATGTAGTACCCAAAAAAGCGCCAAAATTCGCCCGTTTGTCATGGTGCGATTCCGCTTGCAATTTTCAATCTCGGACGCCTAAATGACCGTGGAGGCAGCATACACTTCGACTGCGTGCTCTGACCACGTTTTTTTTTTTTTTATTTGTTTTTACTGTGTTTACGAGCAATGTTGAAACCGCAAATCGCAGGCAGAACAGCGCCATGTCAAACGGGCTTAACCCGACCACACGGTACTATGCACGCATGCATACATAAACGTTAGTTTTTTTATCGCACGGCAAATGGTGTTCGCTACTTCTGCGAACAATAGGGGGCGCGCTGGTCAGGCGAAATGGCGGACGAAAGGAAGTCGTCTTCATGGTTCAGCGCGCGGACCACCATACATTTCTTGCACTCCAGGGTAGATTCAGGGTTACATATGAAATCAATGCGATTTTTCTACGGTAAAAGCTTTCTTCAAGTTAGTGCGTAGGAATAACATGGCAGAAGCAAAGAAATAATTACTGGGAACGATGTTTTTTTGTATGCTGCCCACGATAACCAAGCAGCGATAACAGCCGACAGAATCGAAATGGGCTCCTCTCTTGAGCTTCTCGGCGTTGCCGCTACGCGGTGTAGATTTCACTAGTGTCGCCAATAGTCGCAGAAAAAAAGGAAGAACAAAACAAGCGACGTTCACCCTCTCAACTCGAAGCCAGAGCAAGCGGCCACGTAATTTGGTGCCGAATATATGCCACCAATTTTCATCCCATAGTCACGCGCTGGGGGTTGGGAAAGCCCAGGGCATGTGCTGACTGGTCAAGCCCCGGTCGCGCTGCTAGTACCTCATACAAAAGACAGTCTACAGCCACTGTCTGTGGCCTGTTTCTTTCTTGCATGTCGATCAAGTCGCATTGGTCGCACGCAATGTCTGTAGGCATGTTGACTGTCTGAAGACATGTAGACAGGGACTGTCAGCAGACATGGATCCCACAAATATACTTCTGCTACTTGAAGCAAACATGCTTCGATCATGCTTGAGGCATGTCTGCCTCAAGCATGGTTGCTTGAGGTAGACATGCCTCAAGCAAACCAGTGGAACCATGGGGCCTTAGGGTTTGGCTATTCCCGTCATCGCAGCGATTGGACTCGAACCACCACCCGAATGCTCGTCGAGAAATCCTAGTATAATTTGTGATTCGGGGAGATTATAATTTCGTAAGTAAAATTGTTTTGAGTATACTAAACTAAATTAAAATTTATGATTGAAATATTTTGAATGATTTTTTTACTAAATATCTAATAGCAAGCAGATCAAGGAGCTTGTTTGACTTTTTTTTTTCTAACAGTCTTTAGTATGCAATTTGAAGACAAAATTCTGCATCACGTTAGAAACGCAGCAGGTTTCTCATTTTGGAAGTCGCGGAAGTATACAAACACATACCGTTAAAAGTAAACTTCGAAATAGGGAGTATATTTTTGTATAGTATTGCGTTCGGCGGTGGCGAGGCTGTGAATGTTGAATGAGCTTATTATCGCCGAAATGAAGGCGTGTACCTACGCGCTATGGTTTGAAGCCAAGCTAAAGTTTGCACCTCGGTAAACATGATGGTATGTTTTCGTTCATCGCAGGAGAGCACCAGATCAAGAGCAGTCCTGTGATTGGTCGAGTTCTCCGTCCTCACTCCACACCGGCCACACTTGTCTGGTGAGTTCGGCCATGATTAACTGACCGGGGAAAAAAAGCAACACAGTCTTTCTTGATAATAGTTATCTGAGCGAAACGAGAAGACAGTTAACATACTGGGATAACGATCCAATGGACCCGGATGAAATGATGAATGGATGGATGGATGAGGCTGAACCTTTTGAACCAAGGGGAAGGAGCTGAGCTAGTTGATTGTACATATTTTGATTGTGGAACCAGCTGACCTTAAAGAAAAAAATGTGTGGAGAGATACGAGAAAAGTCTCTTTCCTTCTATCTCACACCACATTTTACAGCGGAGCTGTTAAGGGCTAGTTTTCACAGTTTCGTGTTCGGTACCAAACAAATGTCGACACAAAACTACATAACACCAAGGACAGCTACCGCCATCTGTAAGCGACGGCGGCAACCAGACAACCAATCTGGTTGCCGCCGTCGCTCATAGATGGTGGTAGCTGTCCAGCCTTTCCGTCAAAGTGCGGGTTGGCCCGTTAATTGCCGTCGTGTACGCCCCCCCCCCCCCCCCCCCCAAGAGAGACATTGCACCCCACAAGAGAGACATAACGTCTTCGGCTGGGTCATGCTCGACGACACCTCTGCCGTAGTGACGGGTGACTTTAACGTTGACATTGCACGCCAGGAGGGAAAGTGGTTAACTTTGTTTATGCTCGAGCACTTTGAGCTTGCGTGTGTGAACGAACCTACGGTGCCCACGACTAGGCATCGGACGTGTATAGACCGTGTATAGACGGACGTGTATAGGGAGTTTTCGTAGATCGTTTCCGCCGTCCCGCAACGCTCTCCGCAACCAGCTACACTAGCCGGAACTCTACAGTCAAGGCTATCGGCGCGCCGGCGCAGTAGCGGCTGCTTCGTTACGGAGGGCTTAGCGGAGGGGGAAACGCGGTCTACGAAAACTCCCTATTGTCTTCACGAAGAACGTGCCTGCCGTCAGCGTGCACCCTATAACGGTGTACCACTGCAATCAGAAGGCCATGGTCACAGTGGTTACGAAATAAATAACAACCCCGGATCGTTATATATGTCTGATTCTTTAATCATTCAAATAACCAATTACCCAATGACACTTTAATTCTTATATTTATAAATACTTCATTCCCACCATGGTACAGCTTCACTGGACTTCCTTCTTCACCAGAGTGGAAAGGCTGACAGTTTTTGTTTATAAGTTCAGCTGTTTCCACAGTCAAAACTTTTGAATCGGGCGGCGGCCAGCGCCACCTAGCCAGTGTTTTTTTTTTCTCCTAACATTTATTTAACTCAGAGGTGTATATATAGAGATTAATTCTTAAAAGCTACGATCCGTATGACGGAGGCGCCTCCATGCAACCGGGTGCACACACCTTCCGCCCTACGAGTCGCCGAAAGGGAATAAGAAAATATTCATCCTGCTTTCAACCTATGGTCCCGTAAGATAATCTAATCTCGAATACCCCACCTCCCTATTTTTCCCTCTTTATTCCTAAATGTTAGTGCATTTGTTAAATTAGTCACCTCTTCAGCTCCTGCAAGGTGAAGCCCATTACAGTAAAGTATAAAGTGCTCAGTCGTCTTTTCTTTTTCTTCACAAGCTCCACAGATCGTATCTACTTCATTCATTCATTCAATGCTTTATTTTCAAACTTGCTTTTAAAATACACAAAAACTGTTTGGACCCATAGCCGTTCCTCATACTAGCTGTGTATACTATCTTAATCCGCAGCACTCCTGTCCTCGCCCTGAACAACAAGGAGTTCCCCCTGGAATTGTCGAAGATGGGCTCCTTAGTAGCGTCCTTCTTAAACGATCAGCAAATTTTCAAGGCGGATTTAGTCTGCATGCCTGCTTCACATATTTCTCTCTCAGTTTCTTTAACTCTCTCCTTAACCTTTATTTTTTCCTTCGCCTCTCTGGTATTGCCCATATATTTAGAAATAAATTTTCGAGTCCGCTTTTTACATTTTGTATCGACGCTTCTAATGGGTGAAAAGCTAAACACTTCGTGCCCATCCTTCTGCATCTATTTCTGTCAGCCTATCTTCAAATTTGATCGGGCTGCTATCTTCCCTGCCCTCAAATAAAGACCCTCTCATATCACACTGTACACCTTGGTTCAGTGTTTTGCCGTGTGCTCCCAGAGCCAGTCTACCTACTGCACGTTGCTTTATTTCTGGTCCTGTCTGGACGTCTAGATTTATGCACAAAACTGCATTTGTAAAACTCAAGCTCTGAATCATAACTCCTCTCCAGATTTCCCTCACCACCTCATAGCTGTTATAGTTCCGAAGTGACATTTTCATTACAGCTGCATTCTGTTGCCCTTACCAGTCACACATTTTGCACGTTAACTGAGGTGCTTTGTACCCTTGTTAATCCATGCTTCTAGTTACTTGTATTTATATACTCACTCTAACTCTAATCCTTGTATCTTTAGCTCTTCAATTCCGTCCTCATTGAACACCATAAACGCTGATTTGTCCCTACCGATATCTAGGCCTAAACTGTTGCCGTCTGCGCCACATATATTCATCAGGGACTGAAGCTCTATGTCGCTATCGGCCATTAGCACTATATCATCAGCATGCAACATATCTTTTCTCAGTAACGAGCGCCGTCTGGGGGCCCGTCTGTGAACTACAAATGAAGGGTAATTCAATAGGTCTTGGCCAGCCAGAACACGCAGGCATCGTGCCGTTGCGTCGGTTTTCATTGCTTTTCATGCTTTCTACTACCAATGCCCCAAAATTGGTTTGTCAAAACAGAGAAATACGTGCAAAGGTAGTACTTGCTGACAATGTTGGGCGTGCAAGATATGGTGCTATCCGAAATTGGCGACAGCGGGCAGCGTAGCCAGGGGAAAGGTGTACGCATCCGCGGAGACTTGCTGGAAAAGTTCCACTAGTTTAATTAAATTACTGTAATTTAATTAGTATTTTGGCTAATTTGTAAAAGACCCTTTTCAAAACCCCACCAAGCAATATGGACGGTGTCCATTCCATGGGCACGAAGCGATTGGATCAGAGTAAAGGGGTGGGCTGCTGGGCTAGTTTTTTTTTTCTGTCCAACGACATTATTAAAAGCAGCGCAAAAGGAAAAGGACGCGACAAAAATGAAAGGAGCACACTGGACGGACGCTGATTAACGACTCATTATATATTTAAAATTCCACACGCGCACAGTGTCTCGCTCATGCGCGTGCTAATCTAATCACATATCTTGTGGGGTCATGCACGGAGTACAATTGTCACTAGAAAAATTAGAACGTTGGCTCGCGTAAACCAGACGCGTCATACGTAAAGACGTAATCAGGTAGGTGAGACAATCCGTATAAAAATGATTAATCCCTGTTAATTAATTGCAACTACCTACTCGTCAAATGTATAAACACGACACTGATAGAGCGACCTCGTTCGCAGGCAAGTACAAGGGCTGCTTCGAATATCTCCCTCTTCAAATTTTCTTCGTTGCGTCTTGCCACCAGGGTGTTGCCCAGTAAGGGGGAACAACTATTTTTGCAGTGTATTGGAAAAAAAGAATCATAGTTTTTTTTTTTTTTTTTGGCGTAGCCGCTTGTTTTCGCAGTCTGTCATTTAAGCAATGAACGGTCTGGCCTATATACACTCGACCACAGCTCAGAAAGATCATGTAGAAAACTTTAGTGGCGCGGGGCACAAAGTGCTTGGTGTGCTTGTCACATTTCTGTTCTTTAGGTTTAGTATTGTTCCTGCTCAACATCGCGCAAATTTTTGACACTTTGCAGACGGATGTGAAAACGACACCAACGTTGAACTTCGCTCCAATACGTTTCGAGTTATGTGAGATATTGGGCACGTACGGCAGCACGTCGAACTTCGTTAGCCGTTTCCGATGTGCCTTGTCGGAATTTTGTCAGCTTGCATCAAATGAAAGACAAACGGCAAATAAAGAACTAGTTTGTATGTATATATGAAGGTAAGGTTAGATTTAAGTAATCGGAGTAATGCTGGCTTCATATAAATTACGATTTAAATCATGATTAAAATAATCTTGATTTTGATTCTGTACCCTGCTCGAAGTACATGCCCTAACAATGGCGGATTTGGGTAATTAACTTTGCAGCTATTAGATTGTACGCAGACTTGAAAGGAGACTATTGCATATAATTACATTTTGACTGAAGGTAACATTAGTTGCAATTTAATAACTTTGTAGCCTCAGTAAATAAAAAAATAGACTTACCATTACAACTAAGTAAAATACAACTGATCCGTATAACGCACCGCACCCAACTCCCATATCATATCATTTTTTTAAATAAATATCAAAGAAAAAGAAATTGAGCAACAAATGGCAAGAAGTGATGAAGGTTAAACACAGTATAACGAATCCGATGAGTCGAAGAGTGGAAAAACATACTATCGCATCAACATGACTGAACTTGAGCAGCGCTGCAAGGAAGTGATTGCAAAATAATCTCAATATTTTAAAAATAATTTATGATATAATTTTTACATCCCGTGGGCTAGAAATTCTAGTTGTTAGTAACTAATTATGGTGAAAAGTAATTTTGATTAGTTCGATTTTCAAATTAAATTACCCAAGTATGGAAGACAGGTGTTGACAGGACTCGGCACGAAAAACCTTTTTTTTAGCTTGACATTGACGTTGGTGTGTATCCTTAACCAAAATGCTGTGCGAGCGCCTTTGCTAAATTCTTTGAATAGGAATGTGGTCGACGTTTTTATAATAGACCTTATGAGCTAAGGTACCAAGATCTGGAACGCAGCAGTAAAGTATATACGGAGTGGCCAATGGGAATATTACGCTTTAAAACTAACCGGAAAAATATGCGCCTGTACTTACGAAGCTCGAAATGTCACTGGATGTGCATTGAAGTGCTGCCTTTTAGTCAGAGTGGAGAAGAACAGTCAAGATGATTTAAATCGTGATTTAAATGAGGTCAATTTTACCACGGTGATTTCTATAAAATCTTTCTCGCAAAAAAAAAAAATAATTTCGAAG